TGGGCAGCACTCAAAACGGAAAGGAACTGTGAGCCCTCCGCTGTGCACTGGGGGCAGCAGGCTCTGACAGCGGAATATGCAAATCAGGACGGACGCCACTCGAGGCTTGGCGGACGTGGTCTCGTCCACCGTAGGCCTAGGGCTGGCTGACGCTCAGCTGCCTACGTCTGGCTGAAATCCCGCTGTTGGTTAGCAGACAGACACACTCCCCTATCTCATCTGTTCCAGATTTTTCCTTGTAAGTCAGGCTATGCCCTGGGATTATACTTTCTCCTCCAAGTTCTGTACAACAGGAGGAGTCCAGCTGACAAAGTTATTTCAAAGTAACTACAGGCTATCAATGTTGCACCATAAAGAAATGATAACTGCTCGAAGGGACAGGTTTGTCAGTCACCCCAACCTGATCATTATAGTGTTTACGGGTATCAAAACAATACACTGCACCCATAAACTTGTACAGTGATGTGCTGATGTAAGGCCTATTTATTCCCCTCCTAAGAGGTGAGCACCGTGTCGCCCGGCCCTACCCCTCCTTGCACGAGCTTCTTCCTCGGCCTCGCTGCCCTTTGCAGGCACCCTCACTCCAGAGCATCGCTCTTCTGGTGCTCTCTGTCCAGCTGACACCCGCAGAACAAATCTGCTGGGACAAGCACGGGAGCGCGCGTCAGGCCCTGCCTGAGGCCAGCTCAGTGCCAACGCCTGTGCAGGGCAGAGGCAGCCGGAGCAGCAGCTCGCCGTGAGAGGCCCTGCTAGTTCAAGTGCACTGAGAGCTCTCATTCCTTGCAAATTAGGTCACTGAGAATCACTCCGCCTGTGCAGAAAATGAAGGCACAGCCTGGCACGCTGAGAGCATCACTTATCTGCCGCAGTTCCAGGGCACCGCGACTGCTCCAGAGCAGGGCTTGGCTCCGGATGCAGGACTCTACTTCACCTCATACACTGCAACCACGGAACCTGACTCAAAAATATCGGCCCTATGACATGACCACACAACTTTAGAATCAACTATTTACAGTCATATGCAAAATGGAAAAAGTCTACTGGGGCCATGCAGCACAACGCTGTCAGGACGAATCTTTTAAGTGGTTTTGACGAATTTGGGGACTTTCTTCTCACAGTCCTAGAACAAGGCTCTAATCATGTGGATTAAAAACCAGAACATGCTTCAGAGGACTCTCTTCCCTTTCTACCCTCTTTCCCCTCTTCTCTCATCTTTTTCTTCTTCTAAAAGATTAAAACTAAAATCTCTCTCACGGCGAGTGAGTGAGACTGACCGGGGCTGCGGGATCCTGAATAGACCCAGGAGTGCAGGCCCGGCATGTGAGGGAGACCACCCAGGGCCCACTGGATCCTCATTCGACCCATAGCGCATGTCCAGTGAGGAACCCTTCAGCAGAACTCCCTGCAAAGAGGCTAGAGGCAAGACCCACTCAGCTGATTCAGGAGCAGAACATCTTGCCAGAGAGACACAAAGGGTTCAACTCCAATGGCTGCAGCAGAAAGAAGTGGAGCACAGCAGCCAGATCCAAGCAACACCCACCTGGAGGAATCGGAACTTCGTAGATCC